ATTTATTACGAGAGCGTCAGTTGTATGTCCCCTCACCTGCAGTTCCCTGGCGACCTGGAAGAGAGCTCGCACCATCTTCTCCCCATCCCCTACATACTTGCTGGTGAGCGTCGCCGCTGATATGGAGAAGAAGGTCGCTGAACACTCCGCCGCCACACACCGAGCTAGCAAAGTTTTACCTGGGAATAATATACAACTTACTGCCACACCCATTTGTATAACAGTCCTTAAAGAGATTTAGTATAAAATCTAAATGCGACTTCTGTAGGAGTCTGATAGCTAAGTCAATACACTCAGAAGTGTGAAATGTTTGTCTAAAGCATTTGCTATGTTGATTTTGAAAATTACTACACAAAAGCCCATAACGTCTTTTGCATTTTATGTCTATAGGTGGAGGTAGGCATAGAAAGAGATGGATAGCGTGAGAGTTGACATGATCAGAAAGAAACATCAGCAATAAGATAAGGGAGAGTTTCGACGTTTGTGCCACAAACCAATAACTAACCATTTCCTGGAGGTCCAAACAACAGTAACCCTTTAGCTGGAGATCGGAGACCTGTAAAGAGCTCCGGTCGAAGCGAAGGAAGAACTACCATCTCTTGCAGTGCTTGTTTAGCCGCCTGAAAATAACACATTTATAATAAAACATCAGAAATAGACTATGGTTTACCAGCTCTGTTTCTCCAACAATCTTACTATTATAAATGATGGATGTTTGTTAGAGTTTGTAGACTCAAAAAGATTTGTATTTTTGGATTTTTGTATGTATTGAATAACTCAAAAATTACTTAGTCGATTTCAAAAATCCTTTCACCTACAAATAGCTACGTTATCAGTGAGTAACATAGGCTACATTTATTACAATTTTTATATCCGCGCGAACAAAATATAGCATCACTATTACGTTTGAGATAAAATTGTTTGTCGCATCCTAATGATTATGCTGGCAACGTTCAAAACATACGTAGTTGAGATTTTATCTTGTATAAACAATGCGGATGTTAATTGCATTGAAATCTGACCTTTACGGTATAATTATCATGCTCTGTTTGTGGGAACGTAAGCCACAACAAACGAACATAAACACAACGCAAACTGCGACAAACGTTTTTATAGGCAATTGATTACGTTTGAAGATCGTAAAACACATGATGTAATGAAGGGAAAGTGTTTGGAAAAGTCTGTGTGCGAAAATTTTTGGTGTATACGACTGAATAGTTTTTTTATTATAATAAGGTAAATGTTGCTAAATGTAAAGCTTTATGGGTAATAAATCTTATTTATTAAAATCTGAACAATCTATATTATTTTCTTACGAGTAAAAAAAATCCACCGGACATTAAATCTTAATACGTAAAACAACTTAGTGCACTGGTTGAAAAGACAAAAAGAAATTTGCATTTTTATTCATCCATTTAAATAAAAAAATAAACAATAAGATATTAATTACTAAGGGAAGTTATTTCACCTGTGTATTAACTGCAATTAAAAAAAGAGAAAAAAAATATAACAGTGATGATTACGGCGATGGTCGTTTTAGAAACTTTACAATATTAAAACAAACACAGCATTGCAAAAACAGCCTTCAATTACATTTATAAGTGGTACTATAAAATATTTTAATGGAAATAATGAGAACATATGATTTGTAGTCACATGCCTTTAAAATTTCCAACCAGGTCATTATTGTTTTGCTGCTTTTGACTATGCCCTGATTCTGAAGTTTCCTACCTCTTGTCCAGCGATATCATCCCAGTGTACTTTAGGACCGCCTTCTATAATTTCGTCCAGTATCAGCTGCACCAGCTTGGGGTCGACACCGCGGACTGCGAGCGGCTGCGGCGTGCGGCTGCGGGTAGGCGTGCCGCGCTGCGAGCCCGCACGGCGGACCGGTGAACCGTTAACTGGGACTTGGTAACCTCCCTATAGGGTAAAATTGGTTAAAACATCATAAATCAAATATAACTCTGCTAATTTACATAGTTTTTTTTATAATATAAGGTAGCAAATGGGCAAGCGACCTAAATCCGCCGAAATGGCGAGCGACTGCTGCGTATAGACATCCGCAATTGCAGATGCGTTGTCTACCCTTAATCGACGGAGGAGGAGAGGCATATAAAGAGGATATCTCCCCTTCCTATCTTTGTAAGACCTTTCAAAAGTTCTCAAGTTACTCGACATTAAAAACTTTTTAGTCAGCTTTCCTACTTATTCATGATAAGCGTACTTATTTCTTACATATGACATAAAAAAAACACTGTTTTAGTACTTTATAATACGATCATAATCAATAAGTTTACATAAACAGGATTAGTGGCAGTACGCGGTCGCTACCCGCTGCCGATCAGCGGTTAACCGCCGCGTAATCTGCCATTTATACTGACAACTTCAACACGTGTAGTGTCGCCTCGGTGTTGAGTTCCTGGTATCAGGAAACTATATCGATTGATTATTATTTGTAATCTTAAAAGTTCAATCAACAGAAAGAAAAACCTTTTAACCTTCCTAATTATTATATTTCTACGCATTTAAGTTCGTTAGTTTCAAGTACTGATCGATATTGTTTTGGTCTTGTGGTTGTGTGCACATCCTGTATACTGCAGTCATCCATACCAATTCGGTTATCGAGAATGCACCATTTAATTCAAACAAACAACATCTACATTCATACCGGTAAACTGTACATAACATTGCCATTTGTCACAATAACTGACTAAAATAACATTCAACTATGACACGTAAGCTCGTTATTTACAAACAACCAATGAAAACATAAAACAAACCTCTTCCTAGACATTTTTACGGGATGACTCTTAAAGTATTAATGCAAGAATTAGTCTTCTATCGTAGAAGCAGGCAAACATATAGTCATCTCTTTCACTCTTTTTGCAAAAAGAGAGACAACACTATGTTTCACTTACCGAAAGTTGTCGTTTAACCGCTGGAGGCGTTGATGCTGGTTTCAAGGGATACCGGCCGTAGCCTCCATTTGAACTGTTCGGCTGTGAAGAAGAACGCCCCATCGACCTGGGCAGGGTCTGGGACTTCATGAGGGGTCCTCCGCCGTTGCTCGGGACACGTCTACTCGCGGTTGTCAGCTTGCGACCCGCAACTAGTATATTTAACAATAGTTAGAATTCCTATATTTAGTATATACTAAACTACTTGAAGTGATTTATTCGAAGAATAAAGATGTTATTTACAAGGAGCGTTCAAAGTACACGGCAATTTTTTTTTGTTCATAGTTTTAGATAAATTATTATGAATTTTCTTATGCTAGAGTTTTATCCCAAATTCCAATTATGTAATAATTTAAGAAGTATTTTGACGACCATGCATGCATTTAGGATGGGGAAGCGACACAAATGTACCAGGAACCCATGAGTTGGGAGTTAGTGATCAGTTCCACTACCAAAAACGATTGTAGCAAAATTATTGTATAATGTGTAGATGCAATGTTATGGGAAGTGTTAAGGATAACCATGGGATTGCACACACTAGAACGTAAATTCAAGCATTCATCAGGTTGACTTAAAAAATAGGTTTAAAACTTCCATAAAGTAGAAATAAGGTCATTCGTTGACTGACACTCGGATTCAAAACATATGTATAGAGAAATTTAGAACAAGGAGTCCCTTAAGAGTTACCTAAAGGCGAAACTAGGTATGAAAAATTTCAAAGAGTGTATATCACGAGGTGACATACTTAGATTTGTTTAAGTGAGAAGGTTTTTTTAAGAACAGATTAAAAAATCTTTACATTTTTAAATACATTTTAACAGCAGAAACATTCAAATGTTATGGAGTTGAACTGCAAATACAGTTTATACGAAAACGCATGTACAGTTGCATTTTTTTTTACATTTCATGATTACTTTTTTATTATATTTGTTTGTAAATGTCTTATTGTTAGTACAAAATTTAAAGAACATTTTGTCAAGCGAACCATCAATTCCAAAAATCAATGATGCTTGACTTCCGACTTAACAAGGGTCGAGTTTATTTCAACATCAATCATACTAATTCATACTAATATTATAAATGCGAAAGTTTAGATGGATGGATGGATGGATGGATGGATGGATGGATGGATGGATGGATGGATGGATAGATGGATAGATGGATGGATGTTTGTTAGAGTTTGTAGCCTAAACGGCTCAACCGATTTCGACGAAATTTGGTAAGGATGTAGAGGATAGAGGCCACTTAGTTTTGTTTTTTTTTTAATTCCACGCGGACGGAGTCGCGGGCGAAAGCTAGTTGTCTATATTTAATCAGCCAGTAAATGGTTATAAAAAAAATGAGCGCGAAATTATATTCTAAATTTAAATTGAAGAGCCATAGCGTCGTTCAGAGAAACCTTTGAACGCCCCTTTAAAAATGCTCGTCTGAACTCCATATGTTAATACAAGGGTTGAAAATGGCCAGTAATTTTAATTAATATTTAATATGACTGTGTTAGAATACGTGCAAAAAACTCATTATGAATTTGATTATTTACAACGTGAATGTTTTTAGATCAATATTTTTCTACTAGTGAATTCGTTACTTAACGAAATGTTTTAGCTATATCGGGTAATAGCGAAATCCACTGTTTGCTTTACATTGCATACTTTCTTAACTCTATCATAGAAGTATATTGTGGTTTAATTTATAAGTGCCGATCAGTAGTTTCTGACGGATTATGACTAGAGTTTAGACAAGTAGGTATTTAGTCAAGCGGCGGGAGAAAGTAGTACAAGATAGTTTTGACAAGAAACAAATCGATCTTATAGCGTTTATATTTTCGCTTCGATATTAAACAACAAATAAATACACCGAGATTAAACTTTAAATGATTTTTCAAACCACAATTAGAATTTAAAATAAGCTAAAACTAACAACGAATTATAAAAAAGACATTTGAAATTGCACTTGGATTCAATCTAAAACAAATATATTCCGCGACTTTCACGATAACAGACCGTAACTTCGAGTATTGAAAACTTTGTAATATGATGACTGATACAAACGGAAATATATACGAATGACCTATAGATATAGCATCAGAGTAATTCCATCTTTATTGCAACGTAATAAGGGCGACAGTGACCAAGTTGTAGTCAATGTTCGAACTGAATCGTGGTCTGATGAACCATGACGGTCTCATTCCGGAAATACGATTCGAATGTGAAATTTGTGTGCGTGTCTCCGTCTGACTGCTTTCCTGAACCTGTAGATATAGCATTACACTGTTTCCCAACGACGGGGTCGGCTGAGCATGTATTATTCATTATTCATATAAAATAAAAATAACAGTATCCCGGAACGACAATCTTGTTGCAAGTATGAAAAAAAGGTGAAACGTCCGATGATGCCGTTATCGGCTGACATGATAAAAAGACGGCCTGCCGGCTCGGAGCCACTGAACCGAAAAACATCTGAACATATAGCTATTTTGTATAGAGTAACCAAAGACATTAAAATTATAGACAAGACATAGGGAACAACTTTTATTTCACCGGTAACTTCTTTGAAAGGTACTACGTTATTTGTCAAGTTTACGCCACATATCCTTGTTTTAAAACATTTTACAAAATTATAATAAGCTCCATCTTTTGTTATAAAATACACTAGTGTCACAAAATAAAATAAACATTTAATTTTATATAATGACACCTATTGGCAATAAATTTTAATACAATCATATTGACATGTGGCTTTGAGGACCTATCAATAGGTAGTGGAAAATGTGAAAAATGTTTCACGTGTAGTGTCTAATATGCCTCCTCTATATATATTTTTAATCTCTTTGAGCCTAATCTAGAATATAAAAGCCTGGGGGCGCTTCATTCGGCTTTATTACATAACTTTCTACGTACGCAAAGAAATTAGTTCTACATTTTTAATACGGCGAGGGATTTTTCTGATTAGACTATACACAATTAACAATTTACAGTAACATTTTAATTTATTATACAAACTTTTGCTATAGACGTGAATTTCCACTGTCAAAAAACATGTACAAAAACAAATTACACTTCAATCGTTCAATGGGAATAAAAATAATGACAGTGTGAATTTATACAAATTCTTCCGTAGTGGAAACTCAATGTACTGGATATTTATGTGGAGAACATTTCTAGCTTATCTATACTACATATATAATAATAAAATTGGAGTGTCCGTTAGTAATATCAAAAAAGAAATTGTAGATTTCGGAAAGATGATGCTGCGTTGCAGATAACGAAAATCGCATTTAATTTTTTTTTGTCTGTCTGTCTGTCCGCAAGCCGCGTTCGTTCCGGCCGATTTTAACCGGAATCTTTTACTGAAGGGTAGCTGACATAGACGGGCGTATTATAGGCTACTTTTTTATGTTAATATTGCGTGGACGAAGTCGCGGGCAACAGCTATGGAGAATAAACTAAGCGTAAATTAACACGACAGTCCAGCCATGTAGTAATCGAGTAGTATAATAGATTACCTTCTAGTCCGTACCTTTGTAAGGTCGTCTAGACAGGTGAGGCGTTTACAACCTAGCGTATAATACGTTTAGAGCGGCCGTGCACTTTTGACTAAACTATCGCACAATTGTTGTGCGATTGTCAATCGTTTCGCAGCCCATTCAACTGTTTAGTTGCACAACTAATCGAGTAGTTTGCGCTTCCCATATAAGCTTATAGGAATCAAAGTGCGACTAAGCAGTTGTGCGTTAGTTTAGTCAAAGATGTGCGAGCACTCTTAATCATACTAATATAAGAAATGTGAAAGTTTAGATGGATGGATGGATGGATGGATGTTTGTTAGAGTTAGTAGCCTAAACTGCTAAACGGATCTCAATGAAATTTGGCATACATGTAGAGGATAGTCTGGAAGAACACATAGGCTACTTAGTTTTGTTTTTTTTTAATACCACGCGGACGGAGTCGCGGGCGAAAGCTTGTATTCATATAATTGTCTTTATGACAATACCATTATAACGGATATATCAAAAGTAGGTAAGTTATCAGTTAATCTAATCTTTAGAGCTTAACTTTAATAAATGTTAAAAATGTGAAAAAAAAACCTAAGTAGGTCTATAACTGATAGAAGTCTAATCTCTTTCACTTCTGTGATAACCTAAAAACTGTTTCCTTCACGACGTGTGCTAGAAACTTTCTTTTGTCGGCGGTAAGTAACGAGAAATGGAAAAAAAAGCAGACGTCCTACTGTTGATTGAGACGTGTTTTAGAGTGCATTAAGTAATTGTAGCTTAAGTAAACCTTTACACAGTTAAGGAATTAAATTCGCTTCCCACGATGAATCGAAATCACATCAGTAACAATAAGGGATATAAGGCACGTTCGTATGTTACGACAAATTTTCAAACTAAGGCAAGAACACACAGAACATTAGCTAGCTCAAGTTACTTGAGTGTCGGTGGCTCAGTGGTTTAAGCACTTGACATCACGGTCTAGGGTTCGAATCCCGCAGTATGAATGTGATTTTCGATTTTTCCAATTATCATATGTACATAATTTACCCCCGAAGTTCTTACGGTGAAGGTAAACATCGTGATGCAACCTGCACATATCGGAGAAGAAATTTAAAGATATGTGTGTAGTCAACCAACCCGCAGTGGGCCAGCGTGGTTGACTATGTCCTAGTCACCCCTTACTAAGGGTAGGCTCCGGGCCCCCCGGTGGGGACGTATAGTGAGCTGGTGATGAAGTTATAGAGGGCACGAGGGATTTTGTAGCTTAACACTGGCACTGCCATGGAAACTACTGTTTGGTTTTACCGACTTTTGTATTCCCGCCCGTATTGTCACCGAAGTGGGTAGGAAATAAACATCCGCGACTGTAAGTAGGATTACTCAAACAGGCGTATGAATAGTTTCTTAACAGACTTACTTAGTACAGTCGTTGACCTGTCGTTACAGCCGGAACTCGCGTATTACACTACAATCGCATTTTAAAAGACGCCTACAGTTTCTTAGGTTACTCGTACAACTTCCTAGTACGTGTTCAATATATTTAAGTATATATATTTGCAATAACTCGTCAACAGCGTGATGTTTTAATATAAAATAGCATATAGGCTAATATAATCGTAAAACAATCGGAGTACTGTTCCGTTAGTTGTGTTTACA